AATCGTGTATTTGAATTGTTTACTCAATATTTAATTGTAAAAGAAGAATTTATAATTAAATTGCATATTTTAATTGTGTATATAAAAATAATAAAATATTAAGATTGGAGATCAAATGGAGAAGACGAAGGAAAAGACTCATGAGAAAAAATTCCGGCAAACTCATTATACAGCTGCTTCCACAAACCTCCTTTGGTTCTACTGAAGAAGCTCTCTGTGATGCAACAATGATATTGAAATTTCTACATAACCATACTTCCAGCGAACTCATTATTGGCATTAGAAAAGGCATCAAGCCAAAAGTTCAAGACTAGCTAGTAGTGTCAAACAATTAATGAACATTGAAAATTATCCATTCACTGGAAATGTACTCCAAAAAAAAAGGGGGGGGGGGATAATCCTAATTTCCCGATTTCATAAAAAGCTTAAAATTGTTATAATAAAGACAAGTTAAGGAGATGAATTGGGACTACGCAGCTCTTGGTCTGATCTCAATACCTTGAATAATGAGACTACTCTTCCAGATTCCACGCTTTATCTCCTTGAGAATAATTTTCACATCCCGATCATGTTTTTCCTTGACTAAGAACTCTCCCAACTGAACTTCCAACCATCCATCGCCCCTGAGCCTGGGATATCTGGCATTGGGCATTGCGGGCATGTTGTCTATACTACTACATAAATGAGAGATTTGGTGCATGAAAAATGTGGGGCAAGGAACAGTCATGCACCTTTGCCTTTGTTCTTCATCTGGATCTATACAGACAATTCGTTGTTTAGTTTCTTGTCCAATTTGTATCGAAGCCTTAGAAATTTGGTACTTAAATCCTTCAATTCTTGACCTCGAAGTGAACACGATGTAAGCTGCATATTTAGTTCCTGAAGAAAGCATGCCAGTATTTATCTTGCCACAAATTTCAAACCGACGCACAGCAAGAAGCTCTGCGACCTCTGGAAATCTGAACCAAACATAAAACGAAGATAAGTAATAGAAAGAAAACATACTTGTTATTCTTATGCAGGATAAATGTAGTACCTGGAGTTAGGATAAGAGATCCATTTGCAAAATTCAGGTGCATCACCCATCACAATAAAGAGGTCCCTTGAAGCCAGCATAAAGCACTTCTTTCCCGTCCCTTTCTCCAATGAAAAGCTCTACAACAACGGAGAAGCAGTAAAGTGCAGTAAAAAGTAGAAGCAGTAGAAGCAGGAAAATTAGTTGAAGTTCTATTACCTTGGTGCCACCGTCGATGAGGATATGGTTATGACAGAGGTAGAGATAAAGCCCTTTCTTGGTACGAAACTTAGCCAGAATCGAATCAGCACCTTCAATTGATCGGGAAATAATGTGACGATAATCAGGCGGCAGAAACCTCTCCCAGATGGCATCAGATTCCGCAGCCGAACGGAATGTAGAATTTACCAACGACAGCCGGCAGACATCCTTGAGGCTCGTAAGCGACAGCACGTTCGCTATGCAACCCTCCGGCAGCTCTTGGAAATCGGTGCAGCTCTCGATCGACATCCTCTCTCTCTCTCTCTCTCTATGTATGTATCGCTACGCTACGTGTTTATATTTGTTGGGGGAGAAAAAGGAAAACCTAATATAAATAGAGAGAGACTAGGGCATTACGTAGGACAATTAGTATTGTTAGGAAACAAAGATAAGTTTTACATATTCTTGATGTTTGTATTCTAATCAATTTGTAACTATCATTCGAACTCTATTAATATCAATCCATCATTTAATTAAAATTGAAGAAAAATTTGCAGTAGAGATCTCGAACATTTCAAAATAGTGCCGATAGGTTTCAACCCTTTAAATCGTAGGAGACACATTCCAATCCTTACAAAATTCTGCGATAAAATGACATAAAAGATTTCCGTTCCAAAATTCGTTAGTTGACATAAAATCAAACGTTAAACTATAGTTTAATCGATTTTTAAAAGGGCAAGTGGTCTTTTAACCTTTAATTAATTAGAATAAGAAAAAATTGCACCAAGGGTTCCAATCAACTGGAGAATAGAGTCATGTTTATTTCTGATTAAAATCAAATTTTAATTTAAATCAAAGTCAAACAATCAATATTAATCACATCTTTTATGAGTCTCACAACTTTTCAATCACACATTTTAAAAATTTCTATCACAATATATTAAAAATTTTATTTTAATTCTCACCAAACACCCACTAGATATTATCCAAAAATAATTAATAATAATTTCAGATTTTTAACTTTTATTTCTCTTCGTTCATATTAGTCAGTAAGAAAAGGAAAATTGATTTTTTTGGTAATAGAACATGCAATAATAACATTGTCTTCTTGACAATTTACTTCCAAAAAATCAAATTAATTGATAAAGTCTTCCATAAGCAATTAAGAATCTCTTTAAATGGTAATAAATGGACCTCATGAAATTCAATTATGATATTGCTTGACTGTTGTACGTGAGATCTTAATCATAATAAACTTCCATTACTAACTTGAAGTTCTTTGAGGCATCAAAGCGAAAATAAATTACTAGTCCATCTTTCGGTGCATTGAAAATTAATGTGAACTAACAGATAAAATATATTCTTAGGCCCCGTTCGGGAGGGATTAAAAGTCAATTAAAATTGAAAATATGGCCGTTATTGAGTCTCACTCGTCTAATAAAAGTCAACAATAACGGTTATATTTTCAATTTTAATCCGATTTTAATCCCTCCCATACAAGGCCTTAATATGGAATCCATCACCTACTTAATAGGCACGATTACGATCTCAATGAATTTTCTAGTTGACATTTAAATCTGAACTCTAGGAGAGCTAGATTCGTCTCAATTAGTTAGTCTCTTTCCTTCAGCTTTTCTCAAATTAGCTCCGACTATTTCAAGAGTTTGCTGAGCTTCTTGTGGATCAATGCCATTACCCTTTTCCGCATCATTTACTAAAATAGTGATCTCATTATTGCCTATTCTAGCAAAACCACCCATCAGAGCCATCGTTAACAATTGGTCGTTAAAGCTTATTCTCAAAATCCCTATATCTACAGCTGTAGCAATAAACAATTCGACAGTACTTGTTGAATAAACATTATAAACCACTATTAAATAGAAAATGAAATTTAAGCATTTATGAATATTTGAAAAGGGCATTTTGATCATTTTAACCTTATTCCATATAGTTGAGATGGTCGACAAAATAAAATCTAAGAATGATAAGTCATATTATACCATTATAGAAGATCAATAATATTATAATTTTAATTAGCACAAGAGTGCAACCTTATTTTTCAATGGAATAGAAGATGTTCATAAATTATTTTGACCAATCAAATCACGATATAAATTGTTTTAACCAATCAAATCACAATCAAGTTCCTTTGATGACTTCAAAATAAGAATGAAATAAATAATGAGTGTTATAATTTATCGTCTGTGAAATTACCTGAATTAAAAAGAGACATGCCAACTAAGTAGCCACATGTACTGGACAATTTAAGAAATATTTTGTTTATGGAATTTTTCCATAATCAAATTATGACCCATAATATTTATTTCTATATAATGAACACAAATATTCATCTTATACTCTGAGCTTGTTTGAGCTCCATTTTTTGTCCAAAAAAAAATACATTTTTGAATAATGTATGGATGGAAAATTTGTGGTTAAAAAACAAAGAAAATATTTGAATTTGCGTGTAATATTACTTTATTGAAAAATGTATGGTTGAAAATATGGTCAAAATACTATTCAAGAATATATTTTTTTCAAAAAATGAGACTCAAACAAGGACTAAATGTTGTTAAGCACTACCACCAATATCAAGCATCAATTTAAGTGGCAACTCTATGATATTAAATGATATATTCACTTAAATGTAATGTCATGTGATTCATTTAATTGAATCTATCAAGTATAATCACATACAGTAGCTTTGGTCCCACTAGTGCTAAATAGCATTATTCTATACTAGGCACCAATGACATGTTATAATAATCCATTGATAGATAATAAATTTAATTCAAATATTAAAATCCACCATAAATTTATCTTACCAATGGATTGAGATTATATTTCAATGACGCTTAACATAGAATGAGTATAGATGCTCATTAGAAATCACTTCTTCAAGTCTCCAAATTGTATACACCTTTTTAATTGCACTTCTTCATTTACTTGTGACGTCGGGGTAGAATAATGATTATTCTGCAGGCTGGAACTAATAGACAATAATAGAGAAGAACGCAAGAGAATAACACTAAGAAAAACGAGAAAATATTTAGCATTCAACAATTGAACGAAAATAACCCACAAGACGGGTTAAATAATTAGAAAATAATAATTTCGGAATTTTACCAAAAATAGCAAAATCCTATTATTCATACCAAAAGGAAATACTTAATGACGGAAATAAGATTCCAAAAATCTGGCTTAATTTGAGATCGTAATCTATGTCAAAAAGGAAATCGAAATATTACTAAAAATAACAAAAAATAACTTAAATTAATGATTTGGAAGAGAAAATAGCTGAATTTGGCCTCGAAATCGATGCACACCGAGGATAGCTGGGTGACCATGACATGCGCGTCGAAAAGAGCTTTCCGAATTGGGGTCATGGGCGTGATTATGACAACCGTAGCCAAAGTTATGGTCAAAATACCGAAACGTGTCCAAAAAAACCCAAATTAGGAAATGTCGATGATTATTTGCCAATTTTGCGCTGATCCGCCAACTTATGGTATCTCAGCGCCATTAACGTACTATCAGACAGCTCGCCTCGTCTGACTCGGATCCTCCTGCATCAACTTGTGATCAGGTTTATGCCCACTCCTTTATTTGTGTTTTTCTATAAAATAGCCATGTTGGTGGTTTATTACAAAGAACATCCTCTTTACATTTCACCCATCCATGGTCTAAAATTGCCCAAACATAGCCTCCAACCATTATTTCCATTTTTTTTGACCTTCCGAACATTTAACAGAACATGGTATGGTCAATTAATGCACAATCTATCAATTTGTAGCGCATATATTATTG